TTTAGTATCCTATCTTTGAAACTTTTAAAAAATTATTATTAAATAATTTATAATGGTGAACAAATTGGTAATGACATACTTGCACCTGGAAGAATATGGAAATTGGCTGTGGTGACCTCATAGTAATGGAAATCAAAATTTGACTTTCAGTAATGAGAAGTTCTCAACATTCTCAATATGTTATTTTATAAATAAATTTACATCTGTTTTATATACGGTGTTACTAAAATATTACTGGAAAAGTAGTTTACTCGATTCTTTGCGATGTTTTGATTCTTTGAATAATTATGGAATAACTAATGTTAAAAATTAAAACAATTAAAAAACCAAACCTATTATTGAAAACGTATGATGCACGTACTGGCACTATTCAAGTAAGTTTCGCTATTTTCTTCTCCTTGCACTAAGAATAAGGCAATCTAACTAGTTAATTAGTTTGCTTAATAATTAATCATAAGTGGTTTTTCAATTTCTGCAAAGAACGGAATAACATACTATTTTGGTACATTTTTGCAACACTGTGTATATATCAAATAAAAAGACAATTCAAAATAAATACATGCATTTAAAATTATTGAAAAAAATAATTATTATGACTAAAACTTCTTTGATCCTACCTGCAATACTTTGAATTTTAAGATAAAGAAAATTTGAAACTTACACAAAGCAAAATCCATTTTACGTGATTTAGAAGTTTCTAGGGTTTCGTTGTCATAAGACCCATCCTGGCTAGATAAAGGTGAACAAATTGGTAATGACATACTTCTATCAAATCTATAATCAACATACACAGTAATTTATTGTACAATTTATACAAATATTATTATTAGTAATAATTTACCTGGTTAACTTTAAACACTCTTTGCTTCTGGTACTTTTTGGTCGAAGTAATGGAGAATTATCGGAAGAAGTCATGTTGATTCCACTATCAATGGAAGGGCGTTTGACTAACCCTCCGCCAATCGAATTTCGGCTTTGAAGGTTCGAGTCAGACATTAGTGAACTTAAAATGAAAGAACATGCATCAATGATTGATTAAATATCCTTCTAACTGAAATGATAATTACCTTGTCATTATTCCAGGTTTCAAAAAGACTCCATCGTGCGATTTACTATTAGAAACTGCAGAAGCTATGGAAGTTATCGAACTGGCAGGAGAAATAGTTGGAGGACTCGGGTTGTCTGCTGATGCGATACTTGAATGCAAAATCAAATTTGCTTTTTCCCTTCTAGCTTCCAATTTTTCTAACTCTTTCACAAGCGCTATATGACGATTTGATTTTGCAACTTCAAGTGGCGTTTGCAATGACGAATTTTTAATATTAAGAGCCGTATGATTCCATCTGTAAAGCATTACAGCTGTTTCCGTGTGACCTTTACTGCATGCCCACATCTGGAAGAAAAGAAAATACAATGGGCATTGAAGTACTTGAACTTTTCGTATAAAATTACGCAGAGCTTAAAAGATCATAAGTATTTACCAGAGGTGTGTTTCCATCTTCGTCCTGACTTAGAGCATCAACTTCTGTTTCTAACAACAATGATGAGTTTTCTGCCCTCCAGTGGAGTAGGGCACAAACGAGCCTAGAATAGCCTAAAGAAGCTGCCAAATGCAGCAACGTCATACCTCGGTGACTTGCGAACCATGAGACACTAAGTTCTTCTCCATATTGCCATACCCGTGAAGTCATCGTTTGGCAGTATGATACTAATCGATCTTCAAAATTAGGCTGCATAAAAAGCACAGTATCTTCAACCTAAATTGGATAAGAAAAATTGGAGTACATGAAAAACTTTTTATAAAATCTTATTTAAGAGCATTACATGGTCAGATCCATCAGTGGGTTCCTGTTTTATGTGAAGTCGATCATCCATTGCCTCTAGTCTCTGTAGTAACGTGAATTTAAGCAAATTGTCGTTCGATTTCTCAACTTTGGGCTCTAACAACGTTACTTGTTCTTCGCGAGATGGTAATTTGTATTCAAATATCACAGAGTTTGATATCACACAGCCATTACAAGCTACCTGGAGCGTTGCTAAACCCACTTCGTGTGCTAAAATTCAGAAAGTTAGTGCAGTGGACGTAGAATAGAAAATGTGTTGGTATTATATAATGCAACAGATTACAGTATGTGTGCATTTAACATCTACCTGAATAATTCAGTCAATGAACCATTAATTCAACAAGCAAATTAGACAGAATTTAACCTTAAAATTGGTACCTAGTTTCTTTCATCCGAAGTGGAAATTGCAATAATTCCTATGAATATCACAGGAAGTAAAACAATGATCAAGAATTGTTAATATTTAGTGCTTTTTAAATAATTTTTATATTTTATAATTGAATAAATATTCAAGCGTACCGGGACAATAGCAACGAAGTACTCCATCTTGTACAAGAGTAGTGGGTACGGGAAAATTATCGAAAAGTACTGTG